AAGACAAGGGGGGGCAAGGCCATATTTTGGGTGAGAAAGGAGCTCTCAGGGGTCCCTTTGTGGTTTAACTCCTCTCTTCAAAACAACCCCATTATGGCCAAGTGGTCATATAAGCTGCTAGTCGCGCCACAGGGCACAGCCAGGCCAGGAAGGCCACCGTTTTGACTGACAGCACACAGACAGAGTCCACCATTGATCTTCAAGTCAAATGTGGAACTTGGGCACTCAAGGCTAAATGGAAGCAACAGGGAAGCCATCCATTATATATGATCGCTCCCTGTGGAGGATTAGCATTCACATAGTTCTGAAGATAAAAGGGAACATTGGCTAGAAGCATTTCTAATTGTTCTATTTGATGTAGCCAAAGACAGACAATGGAGAGAAGAACACTGCCGATAAAGCAGTTAAACCAGAGGTCATGACCTGTGGTTGAACAATAAATAATGGCAAAGTAATGACAAATGAGCTCTTCAAACATACTTAGTGTTTCCTACAGGATTGTAAGAGACTGGTGGGTGGACCTGGGACCCTCCCCTCGAAAGAAAATTTTGTACATTTTAAAGTTGAAATGAATTAATTTGGTGCAAAATTAAGAGGCTATCTTTGAAGAACTTGGCACTCATGTAAACAATTTAATCATAAACCCATTGTAAAACTAATAACAAACACTTTATTGTTTTTTTTTTTTTACTTTTAATGTACACATGAAATATGTTTTATACTTTCTGAGAATATAATCCAATTAAACTTATTTCCATACTGTATAGACACTTTATTTTGAAAACCGGACGTTGTCACATACGTCTCCTTGCGCTAAATTCATCAAGTCCGACCCAATTTGATAAATAATGCTCTATATGGTTCTTGTATCGTGTAACATGAAGACTTCAAAGCCTCTCTTCAGGACTCTCATACTGCAACATACTGTCTTTGTGAAGACAGAAAATGACAGGATAAAGTTGCTTACACTGCCTGTCAGCTCGCACTGGTCAGTTTCAGTGGATTTACCATAAAGGCTTGAATATGTGTGCACTCCAAATTTAGGCACGGCTAGCCTAATCGCCTCACAAATGAGTTACAGAAACAGGCCGTTAAAGTTACCGTAGTTCCCTTAAAAGAAAAGTGGTTGTATCGAGTCGGATGCCAAAGTGTGTGAGCGTGCAAGCTTACAGCAGCGCAGAACAGCTCCCACAAAACACAAGGTCAGACGTCTGAAATGTTATTATGAGATGTGTTAAAATATTTTTGGTTCAATTTGAAACTATGTCGGAGCAAATTAGACTGTGGCGGGCTGCCATGGTCTCGTTAATTAATGGGAAATACTGATACTACCTACTGCATACACTCATATACTTGGACATTTACACACCCACACGCACACAAACAGAGGGACTCGCAAGAGAAGGTGTGTCCAATAGGTTCATTAGTCAGTGTGTTGTGTGGTAATAGCGTGGGACAGGTGATGGAGCTGGGTGTGATGATGCATCAACAACATCAGCCCTGGGTGGCGCCACCTGCAGAGGTAGCAGATGGCACACATGACTGGAGAAGAGCCATCCACTCACACAAGCACACCCTCACACAGTACACACACATTCAGATGCTCAAATATGCACAAATTACATCCACAAAATTGGCATTTATAGTGAATACTCTATAAACCATACATAAACACATGGTAAACAGTAAACCCTATGTTTAACATATTGTATATATACCTGCCCACAAACTATAACAAGTACAAACTATATACACTAAGATTGTTTTGTTTAGATGCAGGAGATGCATTTGTCCTTGTAAAAGACGTAGGTAGTAGTGGTCACCACCACATAAACCACAGTACCCTTTAGGATCTTTTTTATAGTGCTCTGGCATGTAGCATGTGTCTTTTTTGAACTCAGTCCTTGCTCATACAAAGAATCTCATAAGATCTCAGAGTTAAAGTTTAAATAGGCTCCCATATCATTACACACCATTAGTCACCATAAAATGACATAAGTTATCAATAATAATAATAATAATAACTTTATTTGTATAGCACTTTTCAAAACCAAGTTACAAAGTGCTGTACAGTGAAACAAACATGATCCATACTTAAAAATGGAAATGAAAAAAATAAAATAAATCAACAATAAAATCAGCATTAAAAAATACAATAACAGCAATAATATAATATTATAAAAACGACATACGATAATAGTGAGATTTGAGAAAAGATTTAAAAGTCAATAGTCTTGTTCAAATGCACCACCGTTACATAGAGAGACAGGACAGCAAAATCCAATATGGTCTATGTTTTGCATGAAGAATGAAGCGTAATTGCTGAAAATCTTAATCAATTCTACCCGCCTGTCTCTCTTTCACTCCTGCTGGTTGAATGCTATCTTCAGCCATTCTTACTCAGAACTAGTAATTTCATGTAATCACCGAAGTGATCAGAAGAAGGTATGTAGGTGCTCAGTCAAATATCAGCTATCTCAATCACAGCAGCCACGTTGCCTTTGGGAGAGCAGGAAAGGTGCGCCTGGAGGCTGGACGTGACATTTGGTTGGCTGAAATTAGCATAATCACTCTGACTATGAGAAGCCAATCACTACAATTGCTATAACAATACGACTGATTAATGCTGTGGGAAAAACCTCATCGTTATAATCAAGTTTCTGAGAGCTACTGTACTTTCTGACTTTTTGTCTAGCACAAACACACACACACAAAGACACACACCCACTCCTTATAAACTCCTACTTTGGTGGCCTGAGCTAATCATGTGTTGCACTGGCATATTACTGTAGGCCTGCCAAACACTTATTAATGTAGGTCATTTAAAAGTTACCTCAGACACATCTATTGATTATATTATATATTATATATATTATTTTCTGCCTGGGTTTTTTGTGCCTGCATTAAAGCAATACTATGTAGTATTTTTATCTTAAAGGTGCCGTAGAACGAAAAACTGAATTTCCCTTGGCATAGTTAAATAAAAAAAAGTTCAGCGCATGTATCTGACATACCATTAGCCTCAATTTTGCGCATCCAAAACACCCTCAAAAAACGGATTCTAACAAGCGCTAGATGATACGGAACATCTGGGATGTTTACACCCCCAAAGTTACATAGACCAGCCCACATTCCAGAGTTAGCAGACATACAAGTTCATAGAGCCACAGCTGTAGGTTGTGTAGTCAGGGTTTCTGCAGCCTAGTCAAATTTAAGACGTTTTTAAGACCACTGTGAATGAAATTTAAGACCTATATCACGACATATAAAAAAAAAAGAAACATACAAAAGAAATACAGTCACAAAATTACTTGCAGAGTAAATAAATGTATTCAAATCAGGGTTGGGTGATGTCTACAAAATTGGCATCGGACGATGTCTACAATGAAAAATCGGGATGGACAATGACATTGATAAGCTAAGGAAATTAACAAGCTGGCACGCGGTGCACCTTCTGTCATTAAAAAGGATCACAGGTGGAAAAATCCAGAAAGATTCTGTGTCCTTTTGGGGGGTTGGGGGTTCATCCCCCAAGAAAATGTTTCTGTTTCTGTTTTCCAATAAAGAAATATGCAATCCCACATAATGTTAGAACATTTTTATTACCACATCTGTGAATAATAAGTTTTAAAATCTAGAGCAGATTTTGAATTAACTACACCCCAAAAGCTAAACTTGCTAAAGAAGTCTACTGGGTTTGAATTATAACCATTGAATCTGGGGAAATTCATGTGATTAGTTTTGATGCTCTCCACAATGATTTTACATTCATGGCACAGCACCAAGCTGTTTTGAGCCTCAGCACCTAAACTTTATAATCACAGGAAAACACTGTTAATATGACCTTAGAATCATTACAGATAGGATTATTCATGTTTGCCTTTTGTGTCTTAATTTACTGCTTTATACATTTGTAGAAATTAACATAAAAAAATAGGAAACATGAAAACCACCTCCCTTCTGTATAATTACAAGCATTTTCATTAGCTTAAAAGGACTAGTTTGCATCCCTAATTTGCTTTAACATTACTAACTTCAGCTCCTCCGCGGTCACAACTGTCCTTTCTTTATAATTTAATTAAACTGTCAAGATGCTGATCTTATCCTCCACTAACTTTCACTGTCACTTTCTGCCGCTCTCTCTCTCACATTCGCTGAAGAATGAGGAGAGGGAGACAGCCATGATAATTATCATGTGAAATTTTAGTAGCGGCACTCATTCATTAAGCAGCGACAGTAGGCTTCAAATACATTGCTAGCCACTGGGTTTAACCAAGCTCTAAGCTAAGTTTCTTTCTGGCAAGGTTGCACTTTGGCACACCTGAAGAATAAATCCATTTTATATCTGTGGTATGATCTGAAAGAGACTTGCGGCAATAACACGACAGCTGCATGTTGGTCTTTGTAGTCATACTCAGCGAATTATATTTGGACTAGCGAAAAAAAACATTCTAGAGCACTGCGGGAGCATTTCAATGAGCATTAGAGGTAGCATTACATGGACGTTGGAAAATTAAGACATTTTCAAAATTATTTAAGACCTAGAACACAAACTTCAACGAATTTAAGACTTTTGATTTTGAAATTTAAGACTTTTTAAGACCCCGCAGAAACCCTGGTAGTGCGGTGTGTCTAAAGGGAAGGTTAATATTTTCTGGTTTTCCCTCTGATTTCCTCTGGCTGCTCTGCTACAACTCTCTCATTTATGAAGTTTCCTGATGGACAGATATCTTTACTTGTTGCTAACGCTACAGACTGCTAACCGCTACCTGTTACTAACAGTAGCTCCTGTTATAAGCTGGCTAGCTGGACGGCTAACTCAGTGGCTAACTTAGTAGCAGCTGCTGTTAGCAGTAGTTAACTGGTAAAGTAACCAGTAACATAAACTCTATAAATAGGCAAAAGTGGAAGCAGAGCATCCGGAGGACAGCAGAGGATAAACCGGACAATATTTTCTCCATCAACTCTGATCCATTTTCAGTAAAACCAGAGAATAAAGTTAGTACAATAATAGCTATTCTGACATAGCAGGCCGTGATTTTGCGCGGTGCCACAAAGCACCACCCCTCTTTTGTGCTTGGGGAAGTGGGCCAATCAGAAGTAAATGTAAATGTAAGTTCTTTGGAAGAAGCTAGCTTGGTATTCTCAGCATGGAAATCATGGCAGAGGCTGCGAAGAAGACCAGCAAGCGACCGAACAAGAGCAAATATCAGACTGGTTTTTACAGAAAGGATGCAGAACAGATGCCGAGCGGGCCTTCTTGCTGTTGTACTAGTAGGTAATAACTAGCTAGCTTGCAATATTTTGTGTTGTGTGCTTGCTTGATGTTTAGCTTCGTAAGCAAAGTTGTCAAAATCAGCCAGACGTTTTACAGACAGAAGTTATAGCTGCTAGCTATAAATGTCAAGTTGATGTTAGCAAACTTACTAGATAACACACTTGGACACTGGAAACATTGCTATTAGTGCTCCTGCGTCGGGTGCTTTCTAACGTTGTTGGTTAGCTTGCCACACAAGTATCAAGCAACATTATGCTGCTACTGGCAGACAGTGGCACCGGCGTCGTACAAGAGCTGGGTGAGTGGGCAACATAAGCGGGGTCAGCAGCCTCTATGTAACATTAGCTAATAGCAGAGGTGAATAAACAGAAGAGCTCGCTGACGGAGGAAGCTAAAAAGAGAGTGACCAAGCAAGAGGCTGCTGGACATTGGTGAGAGCTTTGTGAAATAAAATGCTACAAGACAGACGCCGAGCTAGAATTATTTATTTTGGACTACAACGTCATGTCTCTACGTCTTGTGTTGTTGCACTTGCTTGATGTTTGGCTGTGTAAGCAAAGTTGGTGACTTGCTAGTTTTTGAACGTAATGTAATCATAACAAATGCACGTATACAGCTGTCCTTATTCACGACAGCTGTGAATTACACTCTGAAATGGTAGGGGCGCCAAATCACGCAAAGAAATCTTTCATAATGTTGCTTTAAAAATATAAGTTGAATTAAAATAACTTAAAGACCACTAAAATATATCATACCTAAAAGAAACAAACCTATGCCATGCAATGAGAAGGCATGACCTTTGAACCACAGTCGTAATGATATAATGACCTTCACATTTCTGAGTGCCATATTAAAGCCACGAGTAGCTCATCAGAAATATATACTGCAGCAACTGGAGCTTAACCAACCACAACAGAGGAGCGAGCGAGAGAGGCAGTCAGCACTCGTGCAGAGTAGACCGCTTCATTTCTCCAGCACCTTCCCTTTGTTGTAAATAAAACATTATTTCAGATGTTCAATTAAGATAAGTACCCTTAATTTAAGACCTCAGTCAATGTGCTGCCATCATTATTCAGCCCACAGAGCGCCTGGGCCTCGGCTCCAGCTCTGGCCTAGCACACAATCACTCAGGGGCCTCTGCAAGCAGGGGAAATCGCAGTCAATTTCTGGAGCACTCATTTGCTTAACAAGGGGGGAAATCGGAGGGAGCTGAGGCAGAGAAGAGAGGAGAGAAGAGGCTCATTTAAAGAACAAAATGTGTTTTAAGTTCTGTATATAGATATGTCCAAAGTTGCTGTGAGACTGGAAGCTACTACCGCAATTGCCAAAATCCAACCCCGTAAACAACTTCCAGGGCAGATATATCAAGTCCTTGACAGTGTAAAAAGCTTCTGAGCTCTCATCTGATTGTGAGAGGACTTTGTTTGTACTTCGTTACAGCGCTGATACAAGATTAGATAAACAATGTGCTATCTGTGCCCTGCATCTGTTTGACTCTGCAAAGTGCACTTTCCAATTCCACTGATGACCTTCACACAGAGGGCTGGTTGGCAGACACTAGAACTCAGGAGGAAGCAAAGCGAAGGACAAACCTATAAGAGAATACGTGCACTTTTACACATTTATAAACACTTACATGCATATATTCTTCTGCTCAACATTATCGCCTAATACCTCAGAGGCCACATAGAATATTCTCTACATAAAAACAGCAGAGCAAGAGGAAATTCACATCTTCAAGTGAAATGAGCGGGAATGAATACAAAAGGTTAAATTGGGAGAATTATTCAACAGGGCTCTGGAATAAACAGAAAATATATAATTAATGACAGACAGCAAAACAAAATAAGCACAACCAGGCCACAAAACAGAAAGGTATAGAGGAGTATACAGAATCTCCCTGCTCTGTTACTGTGTTTCATCAAATAAATGTTGGACTAAGAGTGTCTGTTTCTCATTGAAATGCAGTATCCATCAGTTTAATACCTCCCTGAAGGGTAACAGTGAGCTCTTGTACCTCAGGAGGCTGAACAAAAGTGAATGCTCTGAGGGGCTGTAGTGGATCTAAGAGCCATGGTCACCGGAACCAAAGTGTCCTAAATATAGCTCTGCTCTGCTTCACTCTGCATGGCTCTGCTCCATCATATTAGTCCACCATCAGAGATATAAGGGCTGGCGGTCTCTTATGCTTCTGCCACCAGACTGTCACATGGATTGACGACCTTGAGCAGTAAACACTGCAGCAGAGCAAGGAGTTGGTGTTGTGGTCCTGCAGTATCTCCTCCTCATTCTACGGTGTTCCTCTTCCTGTGTTTCCTGTTAGTCTCCCTGTCTCTCTCTCTCTCTGTTGTCAGTGTGTTGTTTGTCTGGGTGTGGCTTCAGACTCTGGCTCCCGCTGCCTACCTCCACCTGCTCACCCGGCCTGGTATTTGCTAGGCCAGTTGTTCTTCCAAGTAAGATTCTTTGTTTCTTTTTCAAGTTAAACTCAGGACTAATCATGTGTTTCCCTGTGCCTAGGACCATGGAAACTCTGTCTGCCGCCTCGCTCAGCTCCTACCCAGCCTGAAACTCCAATTCACCTGCCTGCCATTTCCTGGTCTGCCACTGCGCTCTGCTCTGCTGCCAACGCTCAATCAGACCTTTCCCATCCCTGAATATTCAATAAACCGTGTTCGACTGCTTTTCGTCAGATCTGTGAGCATCTTCTTTTGGGTCCTGAACATCCAGAATGACAGTTGGGCTGCATTTATTATTTTTTTTGTCTTTGTCTTTATTTTTTCAGTTGACTCTATCATTAAGACTGTTCCTCAAGGATTCAACGATGTCAGCTTCCACCATCTAGACAAATTAAAATGGATCAAATCCACATCCAGCTTGAACATGAGAGTGCACGCTAGCACTGCAATGGAGATAATTTGCCAAACCTCGCACATCTATTCCTAGCGTAGCTTCTCACCTTCACTACTCCAGCTAGTGTTAATTAGCAACCTCATTAGCAAGAAGTCATGTGACCCTGCTTTGTGCATTTATCTTCCATTAGTTCTCATTTTGTTGAGGAGGAAGATATGCATAAATGAAAACAATCACCTACATGTTTAAACTTGAGGAGAAATTATGCTTTTGGAATCTATTCCAGGCGTCCATGCAGCACCGACCATTTTTATTTAATATCTGATGAAATTTTAGATGGAACTTGTGCAAGGTATCGCAACCACATCAGATATCAAACTCAGGCTCTGTTTACAAAGGGACTCCTTCAAATTCTCGAAACAAAACAACAAAGGGGAAACAAAGAGGACGTTAGCGTGAGAGAAGGATGTGCAAGAGGAAGAGACAAACATGGGACAGAGAAATACAGACAGACAGACAGAGAGACAGAGAGAGAGAGAGAGAGAGAGAGAGAGAGTGAGGGCATTGACAGTGATAGAAACTGCCCTGGCCTCTCCCCTGGTCTCCTGAGTGGCAGGGTCTGTGCCAGCCTGTCAGCCTGTCTGTCATCACCATTGCTTAGTATTCTCCTTAAGACCATCTCCCTGCTCATTATACACAGGCTCTTGTTCTGGACTGACATGTTTTCTTTACATCGATATTTTCATTGCAGCTCAAACGTCCCCTTTTCCCTCGAAGAGCGGGAGGGCAGTAAGCTTGCCCATGAGGCATACTTTGAGATGAAATAATATTTCATAAGAAACTTTCTTTATCCTGGGTGATGCCATGATATGATATGGACAAAGAAAACAAATGACCACAATGTGTTTTATCACTGTGACAGAAAAAAAGGCTGATACAGTAACAGCTCTACCTGCTAGCCGGGGCCATTCTTCTCATATCTCAATTGCTTTCACAACCAACTTTAATTTCCTCTAAAAGACGACATTATCAGAAGCCAAGGTTAAAGGAACGAGCCAATTTAATAACGATCTTGCTGTGCTATCTTACCGGCTGGATAAAGCAGCCAGCCAAAACAAGATCAAGAAAAAGTGCTATTAGTACTGCAGTGTCATTGTGTCTTTGGTGAGGTACTGGGAACTAAGCAAGATGCATGGCGAATAGAAAACACCACAGCAACAGGCCGTTACTGAGGAAGACATTAAATTAAAATTAAATAAAAAATTCATTCATTTTTAGTTTTGGTAAAGGGGAAAGTAAGCCTGTCCTGAAAAACAGCAAAATGCATTTCTGTCATAAGAGTAATATCAGGATTGTCCAACAGAATTTCAGCATTACACAAAGAGTCACCAACCAAAGACAGATGTAATATTTTGAAGATGCCTATATCTAGCTGGATTGCCCAACTCCGTTATACAAAAACCCACTCTCAATAACGTAGCTGGAACAGAAATTCTTCTCCTATAATTGGGTGCGAACGCTGTTTTCTGTAATAATACACTGTTGGGTGGGAAAATTCCCACAGAGCATGTGCTTTCATGTATCCTATTCCATGTTATCTGTCAACTTTTCAAAGGGAGGAGGGCTGTCAGTGGTGTGAAAGACCCCCGTGCTCACTGTGTCACTCTCATTATAAGCCTAAAAAACAAGACAGATATTCAATTTAGATAAGTCCCCAGACCATGCTTGCCTTGCCTACATGAGACAATGCTCTATTTCTCTCAACCATGCTCCACAGAACATGGATGCCGCATTGTCCCTCGCACCGACAGAGCTAAGCAGAGGAAATTTCCAATTATGGATCGAAAGGACAGTGAGGAGAAAAGCAATAGAGAGAGTGAAAGTGAGAGTAAGAAAAAGAGACCAAGGAGGTACCATTACAAGAAGTCTCTCCTTTTGTCAGGTCGCCATGTAGTTTTTATATTTATCTAAACCCTGAGAGAAAAGTTGATTTCCTTAGAGTGCTGGGCTACTCACGGCAGCAAAGGAGAAAGTATGGGAGAGAGATGGAGAGGCAAGAGAATCCGACAAACAAAAAAAGTGACAAAACGAAAGGTATCGACAGCCAGAAATAGAGACGAATGCATCTCTGAGGGTCCTCAATGTTTTCTCCATACCTCCTGTGGAGAAGGAAAATAATTAGGCATGAGGAGAAATCCTGACTACTTGTGTACAAAACATTCAGCGATTGGCCAGCTACTGGCAACCAAGCTAATAAAGAAACAATCATCATTCATTTCTTTTCATGAGCTGAATCTTTATCATCTTCTAAGAAGATTATAGTGACAACAGAATTTGAATTGAACTGAAAAGAAGATAAACTGTCAAATAATATTCATCATCTTTCAGTGTAATTAAAACAGCTATTATGTCTGTACTTCTTATGTTTATCATTCTGTTTTGAATCTGTCAGAGCTCATCTGTAGGCTATAGGATGCAGCATTTTAACGTATAATATATAGGCTTATTACCTTTGCTATATAACAAATTTAAGAATGATTGATAGCATGATTAGACCTCTGCATATTGCCAGAATATAAGCTATTGTAACAACATCTTTTATGGTTTACAAAACACTTTTGCAAAACCATAGATCATCTATCTGAATTTGTCTCCTCTGATAACAGACTGTTCGCCTAGCACACACACACGCGCACACACACAGAACATGTCCTTCCCAAAAAAGCTGTTCGGCTTGCAGTAATGAAAAGGGAGTCAACTGCCTTCAGGTGCGGCTGTGCTGATGTGTGTTGGCAGGCGCTGCCTTCACGAGTGTAGAAAAACACAGAGAAATCTGCTCTGCTGTCCTGCCTCTCTCAACCATGGAGGACAGCAGAGGCTGACTGACAGGAGTTGGAGCAGCGTCTGGGATCCACGGCCAAGACCCAGACCACAGCAGCCTGTGTCTCTCTGAGAGAAAGGTGGCTCTCTACACTCCACAAGGCCCAGATGAGCCATTGGATCTGTCAGTACCAGATGCACCATTTGTGTAAACGTGCCTTCTGTACATATGTACGTATGTATGTCCTTTTCAAGTGCTATTTTTGGTCCATCCTACCTCCTACCATTGTAACACTGACATGCTCCCTATGCTTATTTGATGTAGATTTAGGCTACACATCACAGGGTTGTACTCTAATCTCACCACATAAATAGAGGAGCCATGTGGACAGGTGTTAGGAGAAGATCATATTACTCACTGACACTTTGGGGTGCCTCAGAGCACTGGAACAGCCATGAATATTTCCTCAAGCTAATGGAGGTGCCAGCATTAATATTCACTGAGTGTGCTGTGATTTACAATTGGAAAGACCACCGCAATATTCATCATGGGGTGCCCACTGTTCCCCTGGTAGACAAGCTAGGGCCTGCATTTCAGCACCTTGGACTGCTGAAAGGGCACACTCAGGCCACTACCGGACCTGAATATTAAACCCACCTAATCTACTGTACAGAGTCAGCATGCATTAAGTGGCTTTTCCCACCTGCTGTCATAAACCTCATGAATGGACCCTTGTTATGCAAGGTTCACATAGCCCACTAATACAGCAGGAAGTTTCGAACATAGGGGACCTAACCAATGTGGAGATTTAAGAGGCTCATGAGGGACCACTCATCAATATTCATGAAGGATTCCTGGGCTTCCCTACTGTATGGCAAAGCTTGTGTTAATATTCATAAGGTTAGGGCTGGGATCTGCTGTGTGTGGAGAGCAACACAGGGAAACCCTTGTTATTAAGCAATGACAGAGAGGAAGACGCTGAGGTTTCAGGACCATGGACAGTTCTATGCAGCTCACCATGTTATTATAGGCCTAAAAGGAATACAGATCATACAATGTGTATAACTTGGATAACATGAATGCTTTATAATGTTGAAGCAAAAATATTTACCACACTCTTGCAGCTTATCAAGGTCCAACTTCCAACCCTGCCCATTAACTATATAAATCAATAAGGCAAAGGCAATCCGATACATTTTTATTTCTAGTGTGCTTTGTCACTTTAAATAGTACACCTGAGATTACCAGTTTTTATTTTAAGTTAATTTTTAAGTAATTCTATTCAATTTTAAAGCTGCCTAAAGCTGATAGTCAAAATAACTGTTTTGTATTCATTGTCGGGCCCTCATTCAGCTCTTTTCTGTGCATAAGACACTACAACGAACTTAACATCTAACAACTGACTCATTTTGGGCAGTTTTGAACTGAAGCTACGGCTTCTGCTGTAATAAAGTGTTCAAACAAATAAAGGGAAATTCTTTGCAGCACTTGCGGTAACTCCTGCTATTTATGGCGGCGTTCACACAAGGACGTGTTGCTTTGGAGAAACACTTTTGAACCTGTATTTCAATAAAGAGATGCAACTCCTAGCAATCAGACAGAGAACGGCAATGCTCTCACTGAAGGGTGAGATGAAAAAAAGTTGAAAATAGCTACATTTTTGAGGGAAAGTAGTTACATAGTAGTGGACTGGAATGGACCAAAAAGAAGAACTGTTCTTTTGTCTCTTTTTATATTAGAAGTTGGAAACCCTTTTTTTTTTTTTTAAATGTCCCATAGCCTGTTACCAATCTGCAAGATGGCATTAGAACATAAGCAAATGCTACTAGCGCATTTGTGGTCCCAAACCAAAGAAAAATCTGTGGGACCTTTTTTGATTTACTGATAAAAAACAAACTATACTCCAAATTAACCTAAATACTATTTTAAAGATGACACAGCGGGATGCTGAAGAATAGCGAGGAAAAAGCAAGACAACAACATGTACCGCTGTTCTTCAATAAAGGTGCGATGGTCAG